GGTGATGAGCTGGTACTTGGTGAGTTGGTGCTTGGTACAGGAGGTTTGCGCTGCCTGAGGCTTGGGGCAGGCTGTGTTAAACCAGGCTTGACGCAAAACCCCGACTCCGCCGAGAGGAGCGGAGGATGTCACCCGAAGAGTGTGGTGGGACATGGTTGGTCCTGACCCGGTGAGGTGCTGAGGTAGGTGGGGGTTGGTAAGAGTCCATCCTCTTGCTGGGTTGAGTCCTTTCTAAAAACACCTTGTGTGAGGGCTGATGACCTGCTCCACAAACCATTTTTTCAAGAAAAAAAGAAAGTACAATGAGCTGGGAATTACACTCCATGCGTGTCTTGTTGTAATTAAGCCACTGTATAATTCTGGGAACTTCCACTCTAGCTGACCGAAAAGTGCTTTAGGAGAAGTGTTATTAAATTCCAGGGAGAAAGATATAAACCTTATCTGATGAACTAGTCATAGGCTCTTTGTTTAAGCTGCGCTTGAACTCCTGAGTTACAAAGCACAATGTTTGCCTGTTTGCAGCGGACTCTCCTGATTTACTTGTCCTTGGGTCTTCTGGCCAAAACTTAGAGGAAGTGAAAGAAAACTTTGGGTGTCTGTTCTGAAATGTGAAAGAACACCTGCACGTAACATTCCTGAAAAGGCAGACAGGATTCAACGCTGCGATGAGATGCCTGCGTTAAAGATATTGTGGTATACGGAGAGAAAATGTGGGCTTTTGGGGAGGTGGGGTGCAGCAGAGTGCACGCACGCTGTTGAAAATCTTCCTGTTTCTTTAAACATTAACTCCCTGGAATAAGTTTGAGAACACTAGTAGGTTTGTTTTTTTTTAAACAGTGAAGGATGCTTTTTCTAGGTTCAAAAATGCCAGTAGGCTGTTACAGAAGAAAACATTATGTTTTATCAGTTGAAGATGTGTGACTTGTGAAAAACAATCTGACTGGTCGCAGACGCTTTCTGGTTTTATGCTACCTATTGTCTATAAAAATGGGGATCAGCTGGTGGTTTTTGGATCAAGTGGTGCACAACTCATTATTCTAACAATACTGGCTCAGCCTGGGAGGTTGCCTAGGGAATTGATTTAATGCTTGTGTCCTTTCACCCTTTGAAGCGGGTGTCCCACGATGACTTTGATCAAAATCACCAGTATTTGTAAAGGAGAAAAAAATTTTCACTTCATAAAAGTGAAAGAGAGGCCACCTGCTATTAACAGATCCCAGTTTTGCATGAGTTGATCTGTAATTTAAACCACTGCCAAGAAATACCTGTGGCAGTAAAACAGTTTTCTGATGAGCATCAAAACACAGAATTAAAACTAGTGGTCTGTTCAATATTTAGCTTCCCCTTACTTCTGGGAAAGGCTTTAACACCAAAGCTGTGCATTTTGTTTGTCTCTGCAAAGTAAGCTTTCTATACATAGAATGGTTTTCCTTTAATAAAATCTGAATAAGGATTTTGTTTTAAGGTGTCACCCGAGATCTGATTCAATTTAAATTGATAACCTAGATGGCAAAGCCAGGGCCACATCTGCACAGGGTGGGGGAGTGAGAGTTGGATTTTTCTTTGTTTTGGTTTTTTGTTTTTTTGCTTTGGTTTTTTTAATAAACTTAAAGAAGTCTGAATGTTAAAAAATGTCACAAACGCTCCAGATTCAAAAAGCAGAGGTCTGTTTCCAGGTCTGTTAGAGACCTCTGGAATTGTCTTCAATAGGAGAGCTTTTCTTGCCTGTGTCTTCAGAGGAGGCAAGACTGCCATGCATATTTGCCTTGTAGGGTCTTACAGAAACTTCTTTTAGTAGTGCTTCAGATTTACTTGGATGTGTTTGAAATGAAGGTGCTTTGTGAACACGGTTATTACGGTGTTTTCCCTTGATGTAGTAGGATGCAGAGCATGTTCTGGGCAGTCTCCGTGGCCGTTGTACTGGCAGGGTGTTAAAGCCACTAACGAGCAAAGCGTGGTTCCTGCGGGTGCCGGAGCAGGGCTGAACGACGTGCTGGAGGTTAATTGGTTTGAACCACTGGGTCTGGACTGCGCTAGGGATGAATCTGTCTCTGCTTTCGAGCCCGCAAACAGAAGGTGCTTCCACTGGAGTACTGCTGAGGTGGGCCAGCGTTAGTGCAGTCTGATCTAATGGCCAGGACTGGGGTGTGTACTCTTTTTTTTCCTCTTTTTCTTTCTTGTTTGCTTTAGAAAACTGGAGATGTTTGCTGTAACAAAGGTGATTTCCTTGTTCCGGTCTCCATGGCCACTGAGGGCATTATCATTACTCCAGAGATCTGAGCTTGCCCTCCGCTGTCCTGCCTGACTTTGCCAGTCATCTGGCATTACAGAAGCACTATCTGGTTGTACCTGGGTAGCTGAGAGTCACGCGGAGCATGCATTTGAGAGATGGAAAGGCAGGCTGGGAGATCGTGAAGGTGAAGAAGTATCCGCTGCTGCGGACACGCACTTACCAAGGCTCCTACAAGAGCAGTGGGAGTACAGAGGAGCGGAAGGGAGAGGTGGGCAGAGCTGCTGACGGCCGTTTGGAAGCAAGCACCTGTTGCAGTGCCAGAAAAAGCCAGGGACGCGATGCTGGGGGTGCAGCATGTGCCGCTGCCGAGGCTCAGGTCCGCGGGTGAGCAGTGCCAAACTGCTTCAAGGGCCTTTGGCCACGTGCATTCAAGCAGTGCATCATTCTCGGCAAGGGACGTCCACCTGAGTCACTTCGACTTGAAATAACTCCAGGTTGCTTGCAAGAAATTTGAAGTGGGAACAAGCTGTTGTGTAAAGCAGTCCATGGTCCATTACAGACCTGACTGACTGGAACTGACACAAATTTCATGTACCCACGCACACCAAGTGTGACCAAGTGTGTCACTGGGATGGAGTATGGGGTGTGTCAGCTGTAACTGCACAGATGTACATTGCTGAGCCTCCTATCCATGTGTTTCCCACATTCTATGCTTGGTCTTAGTTCCAGCCACGGGTGATTGACACATTGATTGGTAGTGTCCCCACGAGAAAAAATGGAAGAACGTTGGCAGTTACGAACTGTGTCAGTTGATGATGAATGCAAATAGTCTGGCAATGTGAAACGTCCACTCCTTAGGGGCTGCACGTCGACTGATGGGTAGCCAACTACCGTACAAGGTGCAGCTCATCCGTCTACCTGGCTGGCTGTGTTGACACGAGTCTTTTCCAGGCATCGTATTTTTATCTTTATATTTTATCACATTGTTTGAATTATTCTGGGCTACAGGAGAGCAACATCCAGGATTTCATAGGTCAGAGCAGTAGCTGTAAGTTCAGCAATAGCTGCTTGAGCTGCTGAAATGGCAGTTTTGCCTATTTCAAAGAACAGTCTCATATATTAACAGTGTGTCTGAAAATGACTGTCCAAATTATTAAAATATTTATTTCTAGTGAGAGATGGGTACTCTCAGGTGTGATCTGGTGTGCTGCGTACCACCTGCTTTTTACAGGGTGTGTTTCTGCTGATGTGTTGAGGGAGAAAAGGTCCTTCTCAAAGCTGTGAA